GAAAAAGAATGAAATGCAATTTTTCAAATGGCAGACGCTGAGAAGACAACAAGCAAATTGGACGTTTGTCAAGGCAAAAATTATTTTCAAAACGAGCAGTTGTAAAATAAAATAAACCATTTTGACTGAGTACGAGGGGAAGGCCTCATTTTGCGCTAAAAGGCCATTTGGCTTGAGTTGCACTCGTCATAAAACGAAATTTGACCCTCCCATCGCAAATTTTTCCTCGCGGCTTTTGCATTAGACAACACCTTTTAGGAGCATCCAATTATCAAATTTTATCTTTCTTGAGAGAATTTTTGATGATTCACTTAATTTCAGATTTTTGCAATACTCTAAGGTTGGTGAAATTTTTTTCCAGAATGGCTTTTGGATATTGTGGTCGCATTGAGAATGGCTGAAGGTGGAGTTTATAACCTTCTTATTTTACAAAAAAATTTTTTTCATTTTTACACTTCGGACCTTTTTTTGATGAAGTGCGTTTTAGAACTTTGATATGAAAAACCAAAAAAAGCATTAAAAAAATTCATAATATTTTTTTAAAATTAATTTATTTCCATCTTAATACCCTTATTTGAAACTGAAAAAAAGAAGATGAATTTCTGACTAGGGATGTGCGGAAAGTAGCTGGCTGTAAATTAAACGAAATTTTGTTCAGAGGCATTTTAGGATACTCTGATTCCAAATCAGTCGAAAGACCCATGCCTTTCGGAGATGCTTCAAAACAAAATGATTAAGAACCCATTTTTTACTTTTTTTTTTTAGTTCAGTGCTAATTAAAAACTTGCTTGAAGGCCAAATTGCAATTTTTGATAATATTCAAAAACACTGTGCTTTAAAAGTTTTAAGTTTTGTCTATCCCTTGTTAAACTCATTTTCCTCAGTTTTCAGAGAGTCAAATGGACATTTTTTCAAACTCAAACCTATCAAGTACAAATTTTCTCGGTTTGTGACTTACGAAATTCAAAAAGAAAGAACTACAAGGGCTTCTTCGCTTAAAGCCACAATTTTTTTTTTCAATTTTATCAAAAACATCGAATTGAGATTCAATTCCATTACTCGGATGTCAATGAAACCTTGGTAAATGGGCCAAAAAGTAGCGGCATTCCGAAAAATTGCACAAGTGCGTTCGTATCTTATCAGTGATAAGAGTTGGTAGCCCAATTATGGCAGCTTGTTTGCTTTCGCCAAATTTGAGGAGGATCAAATTGTAGACAAACATGTCAATCAACTTATCAATAAAACGTCTGAGGAAGCAAAAAATTTGGAAATAGATGCCGTGAAACTTCAAGCAAAGATATGGTTTATATTTCAAATTCCTGAATCTTTCTGAGAATTTTCCAAATTTAGCTCTTTTTTTTTGAATTTACTCAAGTGAGAAATGAATTAGGATCTGGATTTTTTGACAGAATCCTTAGAAGAGTTCAAATTTTTTTATCTACATGGAGGATCGTTCGAAACAGCGATGTGAACTAATGATTGCATAAAAATTCCTTAGCTGTCTTTGGGAGTTTCCATAAATTTCTAGAAGTTTTGAAATCCCCGCGATTCTCGAGAAAAACTTTTTACAGAAAATCGGAACCAAAAAAGAAAAAAAAAGTGTGATCCATGAAAAAAAAGAGGAAAAATCGACTCGCCGACTGGATCACTACTCGTGCTGCAAGCAATTGTCGTGTCCTCCACTGCTTTTTTCCCTCTTCTTTGATTCCCGGCCACCTGATTAGTTGTGTTTAGCTTCTCAGCCGGCAGAAAAGATTGTTGCAACTTCAAAAGTCGGATGCGAATCGAGGATTTCAGCTGTCAAAAAATAATATGTAGAAATGTATATTCGTAGAAAAAAAGATATTGTGTTACGAGAAGAAATTTTTCAAAAACTTAACATGATGATTGGAAAATGGGAACTAATTCAAGGTTTGTTTCAGTTATTAATGATCATATGAATTTTTTTAAATCGGCAGCCTCATTTTTGAAAAATAATGAAACCATTGGTCAATTTTTTTCAGTTTTATTTACGGAAACCTGTTTCAAAAAAAGTTTTGGAAGCTTTTTCAGGTGGTTTTCTGAACTACAGAATTCTAGAAGCAAAGAGATTTTTTTCAGAAATTTTTTTCACCTTTATCAGACTGTGAAAAAAACTTGGAGAAATATATTTCAAAAATATTTCAATACAAAGCCTTTTTTTCAATTAAAAATCTTGTTGTTTTTTTACACCAAAGAAACTTTAAAAAAAGCAGAAAAATGTTTGAAAATATGTCTTTCTCTTCAATCTTCAAGCAAAAAAATGGTCACTTGGTCGCCGGCTGAACATGTTTGAACTACTCAAAGCCTCGCAATTACGGACAGGAATTGGACCGAATCGAAAAAACTTGAGAAGACGTGTCTTTGCTTGTCTTTTTTCCTCATTTTTTCCTTTTTTGTTGTGAAGATTTAATTCTAATTTGCAAAAATGCACTTTTTGTCCTTCATTAATTTTTTTTTTTTGAAAAACCTTGGAGTGGATTCTTGCAAAGTTTCATCTTATTTAGAAGAGCGAGAATTTCTCTAAAAATCGCACATGGAATTTCATTTGGCTTTGCGGTTTAGATTCCTTCAAAATACGCCAAAACACTTCTTGAAGGGCCAGAACAAGCTTATGAAATTCTCATTTTGCAAAACTTCCTAGTTTTCGAGAAATAAGGGCTTGATGCCCCAGAAAAACTTATTTTGATAGGTTTCGAGAATTTCCTGTGACTTTGAGGTGATCTTTTTCGAAGACTAGAAAGTTCCAGGTTTTTTTCTATTTGCGTTTTCAGCAAAACTCAAACCCCGAAGTAAAATGGCCTTTCTATTCAGAAAAGCACTTTTAATTTCCTGATTTCCCTAAAATCACTTGAGCTCATCAGTAACAGCGAAATGAACTATCTCTTCACCGATCATTGTTCGTCTATTTGTGTGCCTTCCTCAAACATTCATTTCATTCCGACGAACGGCAACTCGAAACTCTTTGGAAGCTTCGAAAACTGTTTGACTTTGCCCGGAGAAAAAAGCGCTTTTGAAAATTGGTTTGGTGCGTCTGAACTAACACAATTTGGCAATGAACTCACTTTGTTCTTTCATTTTTGTTTCAAAAATTGAAATTTGGACGAGTGTTCCAAACAAAATTTCGTGAAAAGGTGGATATGAGGCATAATTTTGCACTTTCAAAGGTTAGTGCATCAATTTTTTGGTGTTGTTATTTTCAGTTTTGCAGATAATGACGTCCAACTTTTCCCCTTTGAATGAACTTATCCTTGCCGAAAAATATTAAGTGGAACAACAATATAATTTATACACATTTCAATCTCAGAAAAAGGAAATCACTATTTTTTTTCACCTGTTTTCATTTGTTTTGGATTTTCGAGGGGCTGCAAAAATTTCAAAGCTTTATGTTGTGGTAAAATCTGCTTTTAAAAACAATTTTGCTTCATAGAGCGTCCGACCTTAAACGACTTGCGTGTTGTAGTATAGAAGCTGGTTTCCGAGTCGTTTTATTCAAAATGTGAACTTTAACAGGAGTCAACGCTCTGCGAAACCAAATTTCGAGATGAGATATGAAGTCTAAGAAAGGACTCAGACTCTTTTTTTTTCAAAACTTTATTCGACTTTCAATCGTTGAAACACATTATTTCGAATTCCAAAACCAACATGGAGCAAAAAAATACCAAAAAAATATACCAGAAATCAGAATTTTCGAGATGAAAAAAACGATTATCATAAGAATATCTGCCTCATTAACTTCCTTCCGAAAATTTCTGGGAAAAAAGATTTGTTCAAAAAGTTCTGAGAATGACATCTCAATTGTTAATTAAACTTGCGGGGAACTGTTTTTTTTTTGCCGTATCAGTCATGAATGAAAAAAATGTCTAGTTAATTATAATCATGAATGGGCTTTCCTGATGATATCAGCTTCATTTTTGGAATGATTGATTCGTGGTACTCATTTGAGTTGATATCATCCTTTGAAACGGTGAGGGGATCGGAAAAAAGCCTCAAATTTTTTCTAAAGGGCTCCGGTTTTTTTTCCGTTCTGTCATGTTTTTTCAATGCTCTGAAAGCCCTAATCATGGAAAAATTTTTAGACATGTACTCCGACTTTACCCTTAGCCAAAACTTTTTTGGTAGCACCTGCTTTTTATCCATTTTGGCACTCCGTCGAGGCCTTTTTCCTTGTTTTTCCTTATCAGATCGCATCTGAAATACCAAAAAAATAGTCAAAACTCGTGCAAATCAATTCTTCGAACAAATATTGTTGTTTTATCTTACCTGATTTAATGTTTTTTTCTTGAAATGTTAGTAAAATTTCCCTCAATTCTGACTTTCCATTTTTGTTATGGCAGTTATTATTATTATTATTAGTAACAGAATCTTATCCTATTTTTTTAAGCACCCAATGGAGCCTTCCGCAATAAAAACTTCATGAAGCTGTTCGGAATTTTTTAGGTCCTTTTTCAACTGCCGAGCCAATTTTTTTGATGTTGTAAGCTTTTATTGTTGAAATGCTCAATTCTCAATCTTGAATTTGAATCCTTCTCGATTTATAGAGCTTCTCTACGAATAACTATTAGTTCGCCCATTTTTTTCAAAAATTTTTTTGATTTTTTTCAAATTTTTCGACTTGATCCGTGATCTATTCTAGTATGTTTTTTCTAAGTTTTGTCAGCACCCCTTTTTTCAAACAGTTACCATGCACCTATGAGAAAGAAAGACTATTTGAGCTCATGAAGATGATCCCAGCCCACGTTTTCCAACTCCTCCGTCAATTTTTGTTGCAGTGCAGACGCCTTGAAAAAAAGAAAAGTTAACAGTGAGGAGTTTCGAGTCGATCTGTTTGATTTGTTCGGATTTTTTGCGGTTTGGAAAGAAGGGCGGTCGGCCGAAGATAGTAATACAGAAGGAGCGGAGGCGGACCAGAAGAGACACGGCAAAACGAGGCGAAAAGTGGGCGGAGCTTCGGAGCCACTCGCGCACCGAGCAGCCAAGCCATGAGGACGCTTCTGCTCTTCTGTTCTATCCTTCCTTATTTATCAGGTTTGTCAATATTTTTTTAACAGTTGAAACAGTAATAATGATTAAAAAAACTCATTGTTTTTCGCTCTGAATTTTTTTAATCTGGATCATGTGCTTCATATTGAAACCGCGTTCTGGAATCAAGGTGATAATTTTCAGAATTCGGTGTTTTTTTGATTGTTTGATGTTCCTCAACCTTCAAATTCAACTTGAAACAGTAAATTAGATTGAAGTTGTTCATCTTTTTGAACGGTCTAATTCATGACTTCAACTTCATTTTGGGGTTTTCTGAAATCCACGAAAATTTTATATATTCTTCAAAAAAACTTCAACTCCATGTAAATAAAGTTTTTTTCCTATTATTCTTCATTTTAAACATTAGAAAAAAACGTTCTTCAGACTTTCAAAAAAAGCCTGAATTTGGCAGCTTCATGTTTATTGCACTTCCTTTCCATTTCTTCACAGAAAGATATATTACCCGCTCTTTTATTTTGTCCCTCTAAAAGTTTGAAAGCTTTCGAAAACAAATAAAAAAACCTTATTTGTCCTTTTCCTTCGTTTCAAGCTGAAAAGGTAGATTTTCCCAAGGCAAATTATCTCCCACTTTTTTTGCTTTCCATTCTTTTTCCGCACTGACAAGACAAACAAAAAGGCTTGCAAATTTTTTGAGCCAACAAATAAAACACGGGAAGCATTAAATCTAAATAATTTTGAAATAAACTGTTGCTAAAAACTCATTTATACCATCAAGAGATTTCCGCACTTTCAAAAAATCAAGTCGATTTTTTTTTGGAATGCAAAAAGGTCAAAAGTTTGACGTGGGGTGTTCAATTAGAGCTGAAACCGATTGGCAAGTTAGGAGCGCCGTTTTTTGCTAATTGCCTTCGAAAACGAACTCATGTATCTTCGTCAAGCTGTTTGGCTCGTGACCAAATCTACACTCGCTCACTTTCTCAAGTTTTTTGCTCTTTTTCTAGAGATTTGAAGCAGAAACAAAAATGTCACGTTTTAGAATTTAAGGTTTGCTTCGAAGAACTGAAGCAAGAAAAAATTTGCAGACTCGTGTGTACTTTTCCTGTCAGAAGCTTGGGTGAAAATATTTTCGATTTTTTTTTTCGCATAGATAACTAACCTGCGATCCGTTTAGGTCTTTTTTAAAAAATCTGAAATGAAAAATGGCTCAAAAACTGTTAAAAACGAGCATTTTACTATAAAAAGCAAAAAGGTATGACCTCTACCAGCTTGAATTTCTTCCCAATTTTTGAGTTTATCCTAAAAATTTGAAGCAAAAAGGTGCCCAAAAAATGCTCAAAAAAAGTTTCTGCTCCAAAAAACCGAAGTAGCAAGGAGTCTGACCTTCGTCCGCTATCAGCTCGACCTCCGCTTGATTTTCCTTTGATATGGCACCAAGGCGCGAATATCGAATAGTTGCGTCATCCTTTCACTCACCCGTTCCTTATTATATTTATCATCCAACCTAAGGTTTCTTTGTTGTGTCTCGTTTTTTGCTGCCTCTTGGTTGTTTTCAAGTTTGAATATTTTACGAAATCTCCCTCTTTTCACAGCCTTTTTTCGATTTTTCGCTTGACTTTCGAAAAAGTTTACCTTTCTCATTTTTGGAAACACAAAAGAGAAATAAACGCATCGGCAGGAACAAAAACGGCCGGCTGAATCAACGTCGGCCCCTCGGGAAGCTCGACGCCATTCGTCTAAAAAAAACCAGCGAGCCTCTGAATTTTCGTGGAATTTTTTTTGGGACAAAAAAAGAACAGCTAAATATTTGATGCGTGTCCGCCCAAACGTTGCTACCAGTTGGGCGGAAAAAAGAGAAAAGTGCGAAATTTTTGAAAGATTCGCTTGTTGGGGTGTATCGAAGACTTTTGTGAAAGAAAATCATCGGAGGAGTAGAAAAGTTCTTTCGAAAGGTAATTTATATCTTTATAAAACTACTCATTTTTAAAAATTTACCCTTAAAAAAATCGAAAAATCAGAAAATATAGCTAGAAGCTCATTCGGTCTTTTTCGGTATCGAAATAAATTTTTTGTTGATTTTTTCTCACTGAAGCAAAATTTGAAATGTTCGAAAAACCACTCAAAAAAAAAACTTTTGGCGATTCTAAATTCAAAAAAACGCCTTTTTGGGTTAAGCCTGCCGCGCAACATCAGAAGTCTTTTTGAAGGAGAAGAGGACGAAAGAAAATTCGGTTACGTGTCGCCCCGGCTGTTCCGATTCGCCGTTTTCATGCGCTTTATCTCTTTATGCCTCTATTAGGATGTCAGATGTGTGGGCCTTTTTTCCAAAATCGTTCCAAATAAAAGGTCAGAGTCGAATGGAATCAAAACTGAATTATTCCCAGACGCTTTCCCGGATCCAATCTCTCCAAATGGACTTCTAATCAGCTTTCCCATGTTTTTTGGTCTCCGGATCGCTTTTGTGAATGGTTTTTTTTGCATTAGGGCGCACTTGCGTTAATAAGCCTCGTAGGAACGGCAAAATGGTACATCTGCATGCATTCTGTAGCGAGGGTGACACATGCAAACCCACACAAGATTAGTCAGCCCAGTTTCTTTTCTTTCCTCTCCCGACCCAAAAAACGTCTCCATCCGGTCAACATGAGTATTTTTCTGTGGGAGAAGATGGTTCATTCACAGTCAACTTGAGAACCGAATTTTTTTAGTTCATGTCAAAGTCGTCATCCAACTCTAGTAGGATCTGAATGGTGGAAGAAAATAGTTAATTCAGCAAAGGCTTGAAAAGGACAGCGCTGAAAATTGAAATTTTGCGTCAAAACATTTTTTAATTGATGAAAAATATGCCTGCAACTTCTAACGCTTTTCAAGGCGGACTCATTTCTATCCTTTTTGTTCTTTTTATCGAAAATTCGGTAAAAGATTTCAGAAGCAAGGCTATAGACCATGAAAGCTTATTCAAGCTTTTTCCATTTTTCCCAACTAATCACTACTTTTCAACTATTTTTGGCATTTAATTTCCTTGAAGCATAAATAACTTTCTGAAAGCCTGAAGCAAACTGAGTAAAGAAACAGAGTTTTCTTTTTGTTACTCGATTTTTCTTTCTGCCAAGAACCTATTTTCCCGAGTCGTTTTTTTTTCCTGCCTCAAGCACTCTTACCGGTCGTTAAGCTGTCAGAATTTCGGAGTGAGCCTACCTCCAGGCCTCGAAAAAGCCCATGAGAAAGGCAAGCGCATTCGTTAGTGTTTCAAACAAGACAAGAGACGTATTAGTATTAGTTCAAAGCGCTCCGAGAGAAAGAGCCAAGAGGTCGGAAGGCGGCCATTCAAGTAGGATATGAAGTGCTTAGCGCGTTGTTCATTATCTAAACGGCGACTTCTGTTCTGAAAAGCAGACAAGAAGGAAGCGGCTCGAGTGTTTAGAAGTTGTCAAAGCGCCGCGCAACCTGTTTGTCCTAAATCGCCCCCCGACGCTAATATTCGACTGTCTTGCTCTTTGATGATGGGAATTGGAGGAATAACAAGGATTTTTTTGACAAAATACTTTCGAAAGATGAATTTTCTAAACCTCCATGTGAGGAAAATCGAAGGGAGTACAAAACATGGCTAAGGGAAAACCTTGAGCGTAGTGGTTGCGACGCGGTTTGAGTGAACTTTAAATTCACTTTTTAGCCACGTTTCCTACTTACTTTCGATGCCATAATGCGAAGTCGTTTTTGGTCTGACGCGCGTGTTGTTTCGAATGTTCGTTTACTTCTTTTGGTCGCGATTTCAAAAAGTTACAAAAAGTCATAATTTCATCATTCTTTTTGTCCTTCTATTCAAAGAACTAACTTTTATTAGAACTTCTGTTTTTGACCATACATGAAGAATTTCGCAGAATAGTGATTCACTTTTCCTATAACTCTGCCTGACGCGAACGATTTTGCAAGCCTTGCCCGTTGGAAACTTCTCGACGGCGGCGCCAGTAAATAAAGCGCAGAAGAAGAAAAAATAGAAAGATTCGAGGCTCGTGGAGCAAATAACTAACTCGGGAATGAGCAGTAGGTGGCACATCGGCCGCTCGATGTTTGCCTCATGGATTATCTTGTTGCCCCGCAATTGACAAGTACATACTGTTCACTTAAAGGAGCTAGAACAAGAAGGAGTGGACCAGCAAAAAATGTGTATAATAATCAATATTTGAAGAGTAGTAAAACTTGCAAAAAGGAAGCATTGAAGAAAAAGCGCTGAATTTCGATAACCCTAAAATTCTTCAAAAAATGTCTTACAATTCTTTAAAAGCCAGTTTCCCAGTAAAGCACATTCAAAACAACTTTCTGGATCTTTGGAGGCACGAAAGTGAAATTCAGACAAAAATAATCCTGTAAAAGGTTATTTTTTCTTCGCATTTTTAAAAGCCGCTTATAACTTCAAGATAATTTGTATTTGGACCGTGTTAAGCACGATTTTAGGTCTCAAAAAAGTTACTACCAAAATAGAATAACAGTTTCAAACTTGCAGCATGGAATTTGGTGATAACGCAACACGCCGACCAACTGCTCAACAGAAGGAGTGGCGACAACTTCATGGTCGTTTGCAAAGTCAAGGATTTCGATGGAGCCGCTAGCGATGTCAAGATCGACTGGCATAAGGATGGAAAGACGATTCCTCGCTTTGGAAGGTTTGATTGATCTTTTTGAGATAATTCTAAGGACACTAAGAAAAAATTCTAACCTTATGATAGAACTGAAATAAGCAGAGTAGAATCACAAGGCTTTTTGTGGAAAATAAGCTTTTTTCTCACTTAGATCAATTGGAAAAATTGTCTGCCTCGAAATTTTCTCAATTTTTCTTAATTTTCAGCACCATGACCATCGAAAGAACCTACTCAAGCCAGTTGATGATCAACCGACCCAAGGTGTCCGACGGCGGTCAGTATTTCTGCAAAGCCGACGTCAATGGCGAGGAGCAGGAAATTTCAGCCACTGTCAGCTTCGTTGGTTGGTTTTTCTGAGTTTTTCTAGAAGAGCTCGATTTTTCAGAGCTTTCAACTATGTCAATTCTTTAGAAGAATTCAATTTTTTTGCACCAATAAAAAAAAATTTCGAAAATTCTACTTGGTCGAAATTTACCTCCTTTCGATTGTAACGCTTTTCAAGACACTTTTAGGCCAAAAAACAGCTGTTCTTGGAACATTATTAGAAGCTTACGAGCAATTGAAATCGTTCTGCAAATTTTCCTACTTCTTCTTGGTTTTTATTTTTGGATAACAGCTCATTTTCATGCACAAACCGCCAAAAAATTCTAATTTTTTTTCGAAATGTTCACTTCGCTGCGAGCTATCAAGAAAATTGATTCATGAATGGCCTTGTCGGGAAGCGATTTCGCAAATCTCGTACTACAAACACGCCTCGGTGCGCAACTCTTGGAGTGAAGGCAAAAGGGCGTTTGCCGACCGCTCCTTCGTTCCGTTCGAATCCGTGTTTGCTTAGCTCGGCACTAGGTTGGCTCAATATGCCTCCGCTAACGTGTAGAAGCATCCGGCAAAGCATATTGTAATTATAAATGGGCCGGCGGTGAACAGAACAAAAAAGTGGCTGCCATTGTTTTCGGCGACGGTTGAAGGTTGACTTTGTGAATACTCGGGTCAGACCAGGCGGTCCGTTTGATTGAGCCAAAAAAGGACCGCCACAGGTGGCTGACAGACAAATTAGGACAATCGTTTAGGATGAGTAATTATTCTGTTCGGCAAGTACAAGTTCCGTATTTTGGCGCAAGAGTACAATATTTGGCAAAGGTTTTCTCACGGCGGTCAGGAGATTTTTTTTGGAGTTTTTGAAAAACGAATGAAGCAGTGTCTGTAAAAAGAGATCCGAATTTAAAGTCCGAAGATAAAAAATCAAAAAAAATCGATTTAAAAGTTCCAGAGGCACCTCCAACTCGGGAAAATGAAAAAAAATTAGGCTTGATGAAAACCATTTCTTCAGGTTCTCTGAAATTTCTTCCCGTTCAATCGATTATAAACAGTGCTGAGATTCAATAATATCCTTCCAGAACCACCAAGATTCGTCGACCCGCAAGAAGAACAGCATCCTGAGGAAGGCACGCGTGCCGAAATCGTCTGCAAAGTCGAGGCCGCCGAAGGCGTTGAGGTGTTCTGGCAGTTCAACGGCGCCACCCTTGACGACTGTACGTTTTTTTGCAAATGTTTTTGAACGCAGTCTATTCGGCGCCGTGTTGGTGGACACGCGAAGGAAATGGTGTGAATAATTGAGCCGTGAGGTCAAATATTTTGAGGTTTTTGGATGCTTTCGTGTTTATCGTAGCTGGAAACAAAAAATGACCAAGGTTAGCCCTTTTCGAAGTACAGGATAAGAAGAGAAAAACTATTGAAAATTTCAGGGCTTACTATTCAAAAATACAGCATTTTTAATTCTTCATTAAGTCGACTTTCTCGGAACATTAACAAAAAAAAAGCTTCCATATATCAAGTTTTGGCCTGCAGAAGGGTCTCAAAAATGTGATCTCTTTTGAATAGAAGATAATCAACTTCTGAGATGAGGGTCAAAAGCAAATAAAGTCAAATCTGTGATTTTAACTAGAAAAAAAGTTCAGCCATTCGAGCCAATCTGATGAAATCTCAATTTTTCTGTGGAGAAACCTCCATTAATCGGTTTTGACAGTCTAGTAAGACGAAAATGACATCGGGTCTCCCTAGATTCAATCAACTTTTTCAAGCTTCAAAAAGCGGCGATCTTCTGATCTTTTATCCCAGAAGCTTCGAAGCTCAAGCAGAAGCTCAGTTTGTTCTGAAAAAACCCGAATCGATCGGTATTGACGGTTTGGTGAGACAACTATGACGCCGGGCTTGCACACACACGCCTCGGCGTCGGTGTTTCGATCCTCGGCGCGGGTCTCGCAGTTGCGCAATCGTGGCCGTCAAAAGATATGCGCCAGAGGTCGGACTCGCTTGCATGAGAACAAATTTTTTTTCTTGGTTTTTGTCTGAGAATCTCCGAGCTTTTTCTTTAGGGAGTCGAGGATTAAGCTGTCGGCAAGATATTCGAAATATTCGGAGTGAGCTTTGAATTTGAATGTTTCGGGCTTTTTTTTGTAGAAAGATAAGCTGAAGTTGACAATTTGAAGTTTGAAAGTCAATATTTCACGAATCAAATCTTTCACATTTTTCAATTATTTTTTTGAATTTTCAAAGAATGCAGTTCAAGAGATCAAAGGAATCAGGAATATTAAAAAAACTTATTAAAAGAAGTTCCGTAGATCCAAAGCCCTTTCAAAAAGCTTGCGAAATAGCTCGGATTCGTTGATATGTTGAAACAAAAAAAAACTTCGAAACAAGACTTCCTTCCAAGTCCTCATTCTTCCTCGCAATTCGAACTCCGAAAACGTCTCATTTGTCTTAAAACCTTTAACTAGTTGCGTTGCGGCTGCAAATCCCCTAAGATAAATTGGTGAGAGCTTCGTTGAGAAGAAGGAGGAGTAAAGACGGGGCTCTGTTCCACGTTACGACTTCAAATGACCACCACCACTCAAAGTGTTGGACTCACTTAATTGTGTTGGCAAGGGTTTCCGACCCTTTTTTCTATGGTCTTTCCGTGGCTAGGGATATTGGGGTACAGGTAGAGTAGAGAAGAAACAGCAATATTATGATATTCAGTTAAGAAAAAATTTTTTTATGGATCAACGCGGTGGAAAATAAGATTGAACTGTAAACTTTAATGAAACTGTCGGATTAAAATTTTCGAGCATGTCCTTCTAGAATCCTCCGGACCTTCGAAAACTAGCAAAAACGGAGTTTTCTTTTTGAAGCCAATTAAGAAAGTTTAGTCAATATATTTTTGAACAGTTTTCGAAAATTTCCGGAAAGCTCAAGCCAAAAAACCAACAGTAACACAAACTTTTGTGAAATTGTCAATCAAGCGCAAAAGCTGTAAGCTTGAAGGATATTTATTCTTCTCCACCTGTAAGCCTGAAACTGGATGCCCTCTCAGAGATTTTCTTTAAGACAAAGAGGATAATATGAGGGATAAATTGTGTAACGGCGAGGTCCGGCGCGTGGACACATTTGCATAAGGCTTGAACGAGAGGTCAAGCATGCCGGAGAATCCCTCAGGAAGGTCCGAAGATCCACTAGCCGTCTTCTCGTCCGGGCTAATCCTTTTGTGGTTTGGGGTCCATGGTCTGGATTACAGGGCGCGCCGTCGGAGGCCGGCCATCTGCGTTTTGTTGCGTTACCGTTTTGATTGCCGACCGATTTCTTCTTCTTTTTTTTTCCAGCGGAAGAGCGTCTGTAACATCTGGGGATGAGCCAATTGATGCTAATCCGTTTCACACCGTTTGGCCTTTCAATTGAATCGGCTTTTTGAGACAAATTGGTGATTTGTGTGGATTTGAAAGAAGAGACAGGGAATCGAAGTAAATAACGAGAAAATTAGCTGAACAAAGTTACTCCTCAAAAGAACAAAGAAGAAATCATCCATGAAGCACGAAAGCAATTTTTTCCAAGTTGTTAAAAGGCAATTTTGTTCTTTTCGTGGGACTTAACTTGAACTCGAAAAAATCTTTTCTGAATAGTCGAAATACGCAAATTCAGTTAGTTTTCCCTTCATTGAACAATATGTTCAACTTTCCGAAAATCGCTAAAATCTCGAGACTTCCAGGAGAAAAATTTTGCAAGAGTCCAAACAGACGCAACAAACAACTTTATTGGATAAACTAAACTGCTGAGAAAAGTTTAGCGTAGCAAATCGAACACGTGCAAGCAGTTTATTGGGGTTTCTTCGCGACTGGTTATAAATGCAAGGCCTCCGTAGTTGTTGCGTATTCAACGCAAAAACAATATAATTGTGAAGAGTCCGTTTTGCCGTTCCTCACTCTCAAGCCAAATTGGTTTATTCTTTCTCTTCTTCCCATTCGGTGCAGGCAATCTGGGGGATGGAGGTGACGTTTTCCGTCCGTTCAGCAGAGCTAATTTTCTGCCGTTTTTTGGATGATATGAGAGTGGAGGATTATTTAATTGTGGGAATGTAAAGGGATCAGAAGCTTTCTGTGGACGATTGGAAAAAAATTCCGGGACATTATGGCTCAATTGGTAAGAGTCATTTCTTAATGCATTATGGCCCCAGGATTGATTCCTATAAAAGTTAATTGGCTTTTCAAAGTTTTTTTAGATCAAAAATGCTGAAAATTTTTATAAAAACCAAGCATTGAAGATACAAAGCCGAAAAAAAAACTCGAATCATTTAATTCCATATTGCAAGTCAATCCCACACGTTCCTCCCTATTTTATTCAGTATCTTTTGAACTAATTTTGATTGAGGAACTTTTGAGCTCTCATTGATTATTACCAGTGCAGTTGAGAGTTATTTCTGTACACAGAAACAAGCAAACGAGCAAAAACGAAGAGACGCGCGAGATTTTGTTTGCCCTCGCCGAATGGCACGTCAGAGGTTAACCACGATCGGGCCAACTTTGCGGAACATCGATCCGATTTTTTCGATCGATAAGGACCAGAAGTTGAAACTAGAGACATTCTAAACAGAAAATCAAGAGAAAAAATGCGGGAAACTTGAAATAAAAATTGTAAAAAGTGGTGAAATATAACTGGTTGGAGTTTGCAAAATGATCCAAATAAATAAAAAAATTTGATATAAATTTCCGTTTTCAGCATCTGCCCGAGGCTACGAATTCAGCGACGACAAGCAAACTCTGATTATCCCACACTTTACCGCCAAGAAAGACGATGGAGAGTACAAATGCAACGCCGCTCAGTTCTCCTCTTTTGAGACCCTCAAGATTAACGTCACTGGCTATGGTTAGTAATTTATCTTCCCTTCTTTAATCACAAGCCAATATCGAGTACAAGGACAGCTACAAAAATATTGTAGCATAATTTTGCGTCTTAGGGTGATACGCTAGAAAATTTTTTGGATTGGAAATAGGGGAATAGGCTTCTGGACCTTAAATTTTGATTAGTTTTTCACGAAAAAAACGTGGTGAAGATTAGTTTTTTCCTTACCATTGTCCTCAAATAAAATATACACTTCAATTTTTCACGTTTTTTTAAAAGAAAAGCCTCAGAAACCACAGGATTTTTTTCAAAAATTATAATTATAATTCTTCACACCACATGTTTCTAATTGATATCTTCCACAAAAAAGAAGCCTGTAAGCTTCAAATGGCGCTTTTTTTTGATGAGAGCCGACAATGGAGCGGCCGATATCTCGATTGGCCATCAACAGTTTCTTGAAAAAAAATTGAGTCACCCATTAATTAACTTGCAGCGCGCCCCACAATTACGGTCTTCGATGTGCCAAGTGGCAACCGCGGCTTCGAGGGACACAATGTCGAGCTCAAGTGCGGCGCCGTCGGCAAACCAAAACCATCTTACAAATGGTTTTTCGAGGTGGGATTTGGACTTGAAAGCATGTTTATTTACTGTGAATCGAATTCGGCACACTTCTACTTTTCTCGGAATATTAAAGCCAATGATACGTATTGAAGTTTTTTAGGACCGTTTTGAGCTGAGTGTGGCCTCTGAGAAAAACCTTTTTAGAAAGATGATGAAAAATGAAGTTTACTAAACTTCAAAAAAGTTTCTCATCACCTGAAAAATAAGATTTTCTGAAAGCTCTTTCGTCCGTTTTTCTTAACTTTAATCTATGAAACGTTTAAAAAACGTTTTCTCTTTTGAAACTTTCTGAAGACTCTCCTCGAAGTTTTTTTCAAGACAAGTGGGGAACGAACTGAACCTAACTCTTGCGCTGAAAGTCGCAACAAACATTGGTAGTTTGGATTAGAGAGAGAATTTTTCGTGTTGATCTTCGGAAAGACAAAAAATGGTTTCCACAGAGGCTCTATTTCTCGATTTTTTATGCCGATGAAAAAGACTGAATTTGTCGAAGGCATTAGCTCAAAATTACTAAAAAATGTTGAGATTCTGAAAAAAAGAGAAACCTTAAAAAAGGTCAAATTTTTTTTCAAAATGCCCAGAACAAGTTTTCTCCGTTCAAAAACACGTGCCATTTTTCTCAACAATGCGGCGGTTCTACAAAACCAATGCGGTAACCTGAGCCACCAGCGCGCGACCATCAGGTACAAATATGGACGAGTAGGGGAAAAAAGTGCCGCCGCCCGCGTTTGTCCTGCGACAATTACCTTTTTGGGCATAGCCTCTTGGGGATTCGAAACCAAGAGGAGGTGGTTATTCATCAAGTTGTTCGCTTGAAGGATTATGCGTGTCTTTTTTCGGAAATTGGATCTTGCTGAAGTGTAGGATATGAGAAAATGTGGGTGTTGCTAATAGAAGAAGTTTGAGGTTTGAGGTTGGTGAACTGAAAAAAAGTTCAGAGTGCAAGATTTTCAGTTTGAAAGACATGGAGGATCAAGATAATATTGAAAAAAAAATGAAAAATGGCTGCTTCTTGAATAAATCAATTTTTTTATAAAAAAATTAATACTTCTCAATGGTTTCTAAGAGTTTGTTAAAAATCCCGTAATCAATGCATTCGCTGCTTTTTTCGTTTAAAAGTAAATTAGGAACTTCATGACCCTTATTTTTGGCAAACTTCTAATTGAATGCAGAGTCAGACCGATTTGCGAAATATAACGGTTTTTCGAGAATTTTTTTATTGAAAGGAAACTTTTTTTAAAAACTTTAGTCTGATTTCTCAATAATTTAAGTCGTTCATGAACCTCTAAGAGCTGCAAAAACAGTAGAACTTCAAGAAAAATAACTTCAATTCGCCTCAATTTACTTCAAAGTCATACTTTCCTCCGAGTTTTCATAAGCAGACTTTGAAATAAATAGCTATTTTTAGGTCCTCAAACCCGGAAAACCCCTCAAAATTCATTTTTATGAGAATAATTCGCAACTTATGCTGTCATTCATTCACTATCTTATTCATGAAGACGTGTTATTAAACGCACCTACACCACTATTAGGGCATAAATATTTAATTCGCCGTGACAGATGTGGCGCGACTTTGGGAGTTGTGTGCCAGCAACAACCTGTCGAGTTGACCTCCCAGAAGAAGGATAATGACCATCCACTGGGACTTTCTTTTGTTCTGAAGGTGTGACAGACACGCGACAATGTATTTATCACGCAATGTTATCTCGCGTGAGAAATCTTTTGGATCTGGAGACAAAAGAAGATTTTTGGAATCTGTCAAGAGATAGAATTTTTTGAAGTTTTTGTAGGGTCTCTGAATTTGGATATTTAATTTCAGTTGAGATGATTGAAAATTGAAAATTGACAGTTTCTCAAATTTTCAAATTATAATTAATAGTTTTCTATTCACACTAAGTTTTTCATTTCTGGGATTGTTTCAAGCTTCCGAAGACTACATGAAAGGCTTGGAAACTGGTATTTTCAAAAAAATTAATTTTAAGAGAAAACAAAGACATATTTTGCGAGGTCCCATTTTTATCGAGAAAAAAAAACAGTTTCCCACAATTTTTTATCTTTAGAGCACCCTTTCTGCAATAACTTCACAGTATTGTACCTTCAAAGGTTCCTTTCTAACTATTAATCGTTTATTAGTACCCGTAGAACTTTTGAGAACCTCCTGATTCTAGAAAAAAATTTCCTTGCTATAAATCTGGTTTTCGAGTTTAGAAGTTTCCAAAGCTTGAAATATCGCTTTTTCGTCATTTTTTGCGTATTTTGCGAATATTGAACCTTCATAATTCGAAATAAAGAACTTGGACATCACAAAGTTTAGTTTAAGCTTGGATGAGCTCAGACCTTTCCAAACAGTTTCTCATCGTAAATCTCTACATCAACACCTCTATTGGTTACTTTGCATTTTCTCAACGAGCGACCCATCTGTCAAGATTTATAAATAATACTTCAGTAGGGTATTGACACCTGTCAGGTGTATATGCAAATGAGCATTCAGTGCAACTGGTCCTCTTCCTTTTGTATAATGGGAGGGCTCTCGGGGAGCTCAATCTTGACAAAACAATGGGTTGAATGGCAGCCGGACAACAGGTACCCTCAATGACACCAACTAATATCTCGCAAAAATGAGCGTGAGGTGTGATGAGGTTAACCGTGGCAAGTCAACCCGAAAAAAACGTCCATGACCTTTTGTGCGCTCCACTGCATTGTCAACTCTATTCTCCCCATATTCTAATGATAGAGGGATTTTCTCAAGTTTTGAAATTTTTTCGTAAACATTCACGTTTTCAAAGTTTAGAAAGAATTTCAAAATTTTATATGGAAAACTTTCTGAGCAAAGAAAATTGTCTGGTTCAAGAAATGAAAAGCTCTCGAAAATAAGGAAATAGCATATTTTTTTTTGAAGGAGGATTGGTGAGATCATTCTCAGAGAAGATTGGCTTTCCGAGTCCTAAGAAAATTTCAACTGTTTCAAAAAATCTTGAGACCGATTTTTTTCAAATACCGGTTACCTTCAAAAATGAATTCATTTTCACTTTGATGATTGAACTTTTGCAAAAACCTAAATTTCATCAATCCTGATTCCAAATTAGCTCCAATTTCTTCTCTCCCAAAACTTTCCCAATTACTGTGGCGTTAATCAAGTACTCCACATCTCTGTTCATTGAATAAGTTGGCCAAACATGGCAATGGATACCTCTGAGTAAATAAATCACCTCGTTGAGCCCTTTTTTCTGTTTGCTCAACCATGAAGAAAAAAAACTTTGAAAAAGTTCACCCTTAATAATCAAATTGGAGGCCTACTCGTACGTATTAGGTTACTACATACACTATAAACTCCTCCCATTTCAAATTGGAACAGCATTTGGCGGAGCGAAAAAGGTTTGAATTTCATGCCGCTTGAGCGCGAGGAAACGAGTTACACACTTAATGCCAAGCCGATCGCAAATTTTTTTCTCCTTCTGCAAAAGGACTTGACTGGACTTTGAGGGGTTTTCGAGAAAAATTCTTAGAACGTTTCAAAGTCAAATACAAATTAGAGTTTTTCATACTCTTCCTGATAAAACTCGAAATTCTCTGGTCGCATAAGAAATGGCTTTGGAGAGGCTTTTTTTAAAAGTTTGTACTAGACCTCAATATTTTTAATTCCACAGTTCCAAGCCGTTTCGTAGTCAAATGCAATTATATTGACCTTTGAATGATAAATCCAAGTTACGAAAACTAGATATGACTAAAATATTTCGCCTGCTTTCTTCGTCCGTCTTCAAGCGACTTTCTTCTATGATTGAGGAAGACCAAAAGACGCAAGCTGATTTAGGTCGGGCGCACAAAAAAAAAGAAGCAGTTTAAGATATTTTACAAACAACTTCAAGTGTTTCAAGTAAATTTTGAACAAAAATTTCTTTTTTTCAGGACCAAGAAGTCCTTGTGGAGGATTCCGACAAGTACAAGGTTGAAGAAGGTCTTCTTATCATCGAATCTTTGGCCTCGGATGATGCTGGAACCTACAAATGTGTAGCTAACAACACTGTCGGTCAGGATGAGAGAGCTTTCGAACTTTCTGTTTACCGTGAGTTTTCTTTCTCAAATTTCAAATGCATACATTTCCTGTTTCAGTCCGACCCAAAGTAGAAACCGTTGCTGAGGTTGTGAAAAAAGACGGAGAGGATGTCGAAATTGTGTGCAGTTATGAGGGAGAAGGCAACCTCGAAGTTAAATTCGTGCACGGCACTGAGGAATACACCGTAAGCGAATTTTTCGGAGTTGTAGAAAAATGAGAATAATCGTTCAGGTGAAGCCAGAAGAGCCAAAAGAGCTTCCGCGCGAAGAGAACGACAACGACGAGGACAGCGAAGAAAATAATGAAGAGGAGACGACCTCGGCTTCCGAGACGTCATCGGAAGTCGAGACGACGACTGCTGAAGCTGAAGCTGGAGCTGAAGTCAGCCAAGAAGAGCTCGAGCTCGCCACTGACCACGCTGTACCAGCCAGCGAAGAAAAAACCGAAGCTGACGAGAACGAAGATAAAGATGAAGCTGAAGAAACCAAAAGATGGAAAAGAGTTGGTTTTTCTCATATTCTCCCGGAAAATCTTGTCCTTGTAAATTTGAATCTGTTCGCGCGCAGGTGGCAAAAAACGAGATTTTCCATCCGAATGTTTTGTCTCTCGCCACGTTCCCTTTTTTTGGCTTTGTGCTGTCTTTGTGTCCATCCGCCGGAATGACAATAGGAACGACGTCAGATGCGTACTCGCATTACCTGGGAACCTCAGGCAAAATTTCGTACAAGAGAAGGGGATCCCAAGTGATTTTTGAAGAGAAATCAAATTTATCCAGTTTTTTTTCAAGCCCAAATTTTCGTCTACCAATAATGACCTCTCCCCAATAGAAATAAGAATCTTCAAGGGCCAGAAAGTCCTAATGAGCTTCTCATTAGCGTCCTCATTCACAAAATGATGTCCTTTTGGATAAACATTTCTATGAAACGGAGCCCTTCGCGCCAATTTGTGTTGAGTTTCCGTTCACACGGCAAAGAATATGCAAATCTGAAGAAGAAAAACAGGGAGGTTTGTTTGGGAACACGCGCCGGATTCACACATCTGTCACCGCCGCGCGGATTACCTCGAAACGAAGCGAGATGAAGATGATGGTGTCAGATTGAAACGGGAGTCTGGTTTAAAGAGGGGACAAGTAGACTTCACTGTTGTGGACAGATTATTCTTAGGATTTTGAACCATGAATAAGTCGAGTAAAAACATTTAGGAGAAAAGAACAAATCGAACATTTTGATTATCATATGATTAACATGACCATGGCCTATCTCTCCAAAAAACAGAACCAATCCAAAACTCACATTTTTTTTCAGTTCTCCGACGACGTCGACAGCGAGCGTGTTTCTGTGCGACAAGAGGACAAGAAGTTGATCCTGACCATCAAACGTGTGACTTTGGAAGACGCTGGACCGTACCGATGCCTGGTATCCAATGAAGCTGGAGCCACCAACCGAAGCACTGCTCTTAACATCATTCGTGAGTTTCTTTCTGTTAAAAAAAAATCACTTTTTCCCAAAAATGTTGAGGAAAAGTTGATTGGAGAAAAGGAAAAATCTATTGGGAAACTTGTATCTTTTCCCTTATAGTAATACTTCTTCTGCTTTAAGTTAGAACTTTTAAGTGAGGTTACCGTTCCAACCTTAGTAATCTCAAAAAATCATTAATTTTTGAAAAAACAATCAAAAAAATTTTTAATACAAAATTGTTGATAAAATCTAATTGGAAACCAGAAAGTTTTTTCAAAGAGAATAACTAAATTTAGTTTACTGTTTCAGACCCGCCAACACTCCGACACTATTCCGGACCCCGAGTTCGTTCTTTCGACGGCAATACCATCACAATCTTCTGCGATGTCTCGGCTGTGCCAGCTCCAGTTTGGAAATGGTTCAAGGATGGTTCGGAGGTCAGTTTTTGTTCCAAAATTGCTCCCCTATCTCAAAGTTTCCTTTCAGGTTGAAGCCAACGGCGCTTCGGTGCAGATCGACTCCCATGAAGGCGTTTCCAAAGTCACTCTTCAAAACAACGAAGGAGAAAACTATGGAAAATACACGTGCAAGGCCGACAATGAAATTGGCGTGTTTGAGAAGCAAATCGAAGTATTGCATGTCGGTCAGTTTTTTTGTTCTTTTTTTTCCTGGTAGCTTGAAATCTAATACTAACTGCATACAATGCAGCTCAATTTTTTGGCAAACACGGAAAACATTGTGATTTTTAAAAGAGCGTCAGGGATTATTTTCAAAAAGCAGGTTTTTTGAGACAACTGCAGAGAAAATTTTTCAAGTTTCGGTTAGAGAAATATCGATTGATTTCTTTTCTAACTGTAAATCGATTTATCTTTACCAGGGAAGAAAAAAAGAGTGAGTCATTTTTGAGTATGGGAATACAACAAAGATAGTTAAAATCAGGATTGCAACCAAAAATTATTCTATACGTCATTTTTTTATGTTAGTGTTAAGAAAAAAACCGAATTAATTTTTACCAGTTGAACCTTTGAGAAAATTTTTTTCCAGCTATTTCTAAAATTTTCATTTGTTGGATCATCGTCCATCGACAATTGTCGGAAAATTACCTTCATAAGGCTCTCTAAACAGGCATTTTCTAGTGAAACCATCACCGCCAACCGGAATCGACTGCAAAAAGTTGATCTACCCCAATTATGGCCGCTGTTCTTTCGAAGAAGGTCTTTACGAAGAAGAAAACAGCCGACCTTTGCACATCGAGTTCCTGGTTTCCAAGGTCGACGACATGGGCAGCGATTTCGACTGGAAAGATGCTCTTCCCGTCAAAGTTGAATTCGGTGAGATTTTCTTTCCTTTTCACAGTATTTTTTTTCTTCAGGCAATGAGACTACTATCCCTGACTTGGCGCCGAATACTCAGTACTTGGTCAAGGCCCGAGCCGTCAATGAAGCTGGAGAAAGTGAATACACACAGGAGACTGCTCTTGAGACTACTGATCCTTGGGGTTGGTTTTTTGAGAGTCCTGACAGAAAAAATGAAATATAATTATAAAATTGAAATTTGGGGTTTCAGCTCCTCAAGCTCCATCCGAAGTGCGAATGGAATGCAGCGACACCTGCACCGTTTCCTGGACTACACCTAACGACCACGGATCCCCTATCACCGGCTATCGAGTCACAGTTCAAGAGCTGGAGAACCGTGAAGAAGTGAAGGCCGCCAGCAGCGAGGACCAAGAAGAAGAAACTGAGGAGGAGAATAAGAGCCAAGAAAAGGAAGAAAAGTCTTCTGAAACCATCTCCGAAGAAGTTGCTGAACACATTCACCACGCTGCGCAAGGACATGCGGCTCATACGCTAGATGAAACGACGGCAGAGGCGGAAGCTAAGAGTCAAGAAGTTGAGGAAACTGAAGAAGCTGAAGAAACTACTACGACTTCTGCCGAAGCTGAAGAGCCCACAACGATCGTCGAAGTTGAAGACGATGAAGATGAGATTGAAAAAGAAGAAACAACTCCTGAAACCGCGACTGTCGTTGAAGAAGTCATGGAGAAGATCCATCACGCTCCCTTGACTGCTGGAAACGAAAAAGTTCTTGTTGGTCGTCCGTTTGTTGTGGAGGTTTGTACGTTGTGAATGTTATAAAACAAGAAAATTACTTCAGGTCGGAGCTGGAGAGAGCCAACTTGAGCTGACGCACATCAAGCCCCACACTATCTATCGCGTGGCTGTTGCTGCCATCAACGCTGTCGGCCAGGGAGAGCCTCTGGAGATCGAGCACAAGACTGATGGTTGGTAAAACATCAAAAAATGAATAAATAAAAAGATAAATAAAAAAGAAAAGAAAATAAACAACTTTTGACGTCAGAGCAGCCGTTTTTTGACAGTTTTGAAACAGGCTTTTGATGTTCTGGTAAGGTGCATTTAGCTGATGCCAAATAGCGCCAGCCGTTTGAAGTTGGGCGCACGGAGAAAATCATAGTTTGTAGAATGCCACTAGACGCAAGTCGCTTCAGGTCGGATGCAAAAGCAAAAATCAGTGATTATTCAGCAAGGCTCTCACTTTTCGGAGTTTAAATTTGATTTCAAATCCTCAAAAGATTTTCCTCTATCTTAGAACACAAGTAGATTTCACTAGTGACCGATTTTCAAAAAGTGAAGTGTCAAATATTTCAGATTCCCCGAAAGCAGCCGTTGATGGTCTCCCGACTCACAGCATCCTGTTGGCGGCTGGAGTTGGACTTTTTTTCCTGCTCCTCGTCATCGACTTCATCTGCTACCTGACCAACCGTTGTGGCTTCATCGCCTGTGTTTGCCTCAATTGCTTCGGCCGATCGCCTTCTGATCGTAAAAATCGCGATCTGGAAGCCGGAAGGTTGGTTATTTCTTCTTTTCCTGGATTTTTATGTAACTTTTTCCAGGGGACCGGAGAGCAGCCGATTGCTCGATAACTCAGCGAGCAGGTAAAATGCCAAAAAGCAACGGTTCAAGTCCTGTGTCTCTCGTCCAATTTTGCTTTTATTTTGTGTTTGGTGAGTGATTGAGTTGATGAGAAAGTTTTTCTGTGGAAGGCTAAAGTTCAGTCGTAAAACGTGTGTTTTAAATTCCATCAGAAAAAGGCTTTTATACGGAGATTTTTCATGATTTTGATGGTTTTTTTCTCAAGTTTTGTTTTTAACCGTTTACTCTCATAAATTTTGGTGGACTTCCGCTTCTAAACATAATTCCTAGTTCAAAAAAATCCTTTTAAAACGGAATATCTCAAAAATTTTAACTTCAATTGCTTCGAATATCGAAAAAAGTGCAGCCTTTTTGATCATGTGTCTTTGATGACGTCCTTTGCCATAACATTCGAGAAAATCTGAATTATGACGTCATTTTTATCAATGATTTCATCTTTCAGTTGGAAAACGCCATTGACAACAACTGTGTGACATGCCAGCCATTCTACCAAATGAAAAAATATCCTTTGCCCCAAAATTTATCACTTTTCTGCTATTATGTGTAATTCCTAAAGTTCTTTTCTGAATCTATCCTACCGATTATTTAGTGTCATTTATCGAGAAAAAATAGTACGCTCTTCATTTTTATTTATGTAACACCTAAAACTACTTACTTTCCTTCTTTTTTTCTTGTTTCGCCTGTTCCGTTGTTTTATTTAGACTCGATGTGGCATTTTCAACTTGACCAGCTGGTCTCGAGGGTTTCCTGAATATTTCTTCTCTTCTAATTCATTCAGAACATTCAGAGCCGCTCATTTGTTCTTTTCTTTCTCACTTTTGACGCAATTTTCTCCTTTCGTTTTGCAAGAGGTCGGGTCCAAATCCTCTTACTATGTCCGCTATTACATCACATTACAGTTATTAATTGCATATGTAGTAAAAAATATTCAAAATGGTTTATTTCGTACGTTGTCAACAATGGGGGAATACCGACAAGTACCCGGTATTTTTAACACATGGAAATATTTCTTTACTTCAAGGACAAAGAAGGAATGATATAAATGGAAGATACGTTAGAAATGAGTTTGGAGTGAAATTTTTTTTTTTATCTTATTCGCGATGAATCAAGAAATTCGGGCTTTATTTCTAGAAGAAAAAGGGCCCTGACGAGCCAGAAAGTATTAAACCATGAGAGAAGGTATGAATTATTTTATCGCAAGCTTGGAAAAAAAATTTCAGAAGTCTAAAATTTTTCTCCAGGCTAACGGTTATGGAACTATACACTAATTAAAAAAAGAGTGGAATTTTTTTCATCTGAAATCGGTAAGTGAACTTTTTGGAAAAAAATAATCATCTAGCGGATACGTGAACGGAAAAAGAGCAAAAAAAGCTCGAAAAATCAGAATTATTACTCGTCTTGTTGATCTAAAAGATACACGGATAACAAGAATATTACATACATTGAGTGGAATAAGAAGTTCATAGTTTTTTTTTCTTTTTTGTTTTTTTTTTGTTTCTGTTGAAAGAAACCGTTTTAACAAGACACTATTAACCGGATTGAATCAAACGGTTTTTGGATATGATCGGGGTGGGGGACAAATTAGCCATGGAGCGCTACGTTGACCGTAGAAGATCCTGAAAGGCTTTTTTTCAAAAGAGTTGTGAAAATTCAACTACGGAACACGAATAAGTCATTAACTACGTACAAACACAATACAGACGGGGTGAGAGAAAATAAAATACAAAGTGCAGTAAAAAAAAGTTTTTCGAGTTTATAACACGAACACAGATAAACGAGTTAGAGAAAAATAACCGAAAAAAACTAAGAAAAGTGTGAGAAAAAACTGATTTTAGAATAAAAAGTTCTACTTCAATACAATTCTTTTTGGAATATTCATGAATTCTTATCTAAAAAAAGGTGCTTTTTTTGATAATCAAGTCAAAACTTCCTCAAAATTTAGCTTTTTTTCTACGAAAAAAATTAATTTCACTTTGTGCAAGGAAAAAAATCATTTCGAACGGAAGTTTGCAATTTTCAATGAAAAATGCGTCTTAAACGAACTTTTTCACTTGGGAATTACATCATTAAATTTTTGAAAAATCTGTTCGAAATACTCATCAAATCACCACACTTCTCCAAGCTTCACAGTACAAAACTATCACAAAAAAATGAAACAGTGAGGTGATCTACGAGTGCGCTGGTGGCGTGGAAAGGAGCACACCTCGACGGACGGCCGAATTCTTGTGTGGAGGCACCAAATGAGCGGGCATGATTGGAGATTGCGAACGGACTGAGCATTTGTGATGGATGCCGAGGTCGACCTGAAAAGATATTATTTTTCGAAGAATATTGACCTTTTAGAGACGAGAGAAAATGTCGACAGAAAATGGGAAATTCGATCTTCTTCGATATATTTTTTGATTTCTAAAAATGTTTGCGTTCATACATTTTTTTGATTGAATGATTTTTCTATAGCTTGTAGAGTACAATATTACTGAGCTAGAAGCGGAAAATAGTGCCGCAAATAAAAAATTAGTATTTTTTTTTGTTTTGCTTGTGAAAAAGTTCTGACTGGACGAACATCATTCGACGGAAATGCCGAGGGAAAAAAGAGACCTTCACAACACATTACCGTTTCTAAAGAGCTTTTTTTTGAAACACTAAATTCACTTACCAGTTCCATGCTTTCTTCGCCGGCATCAGGATCTTCATCAGAATCACGTCGCAGGATTTGGATCTGAATCAGAAATAGAAGCTTCTGAAAATTGCCGAAAACTTTGCATTCGCGAGTTTGCATGCCGCCAGCCTCAGTGCATAGCATTCGTTATCCTGTTCGAAAAGAAAGCCAACCGAATTTCCAACCAAACTTTTTAGGCATTCCTGTGATTTTATGGTTTAGAAAGGTTTGAAAAAGTGCAAGGCTGATGAAGCGTGTGAGCAACCGACAAGGCAGGACATTTCAGTGCTAAATATAAAAATGTGAAGAACTAGACTTAAATTTTTCAGAGTTGTTGTCTGCAAAAAAGTTTGGCTTTTAAAAGTTTTTTAAGGCTTCTTTTTGATACTTATCACGGGCCAAAGCTGTTATTCTCAACTTTAAAAAATGTGTGTTGTCTCGAAAAATACTAGCTTCATTTTTCAGAGTAATCTCCAGAAAATTCTCAAAAATCCAGATTTAACACTGGAATGATCTGCCTTGTAAGAAATTTGTTTCTTGCGAAAAGGTGAGATTCTAATGTTATTTTCATAGGACAGACCTGAAAGCAAGGCAGAAACTTATTGGTTATCATAGCTTCGTCCGTTGGTCATGCAAACCCGGAATGTTACCTGGGGTACCTGGTTGCCGTCAACGGCGTCGTGGACCGGAGATTCGTCGTCGTCGTAGTTTTCCAAGATCGAGAGGGCGCGGTTGTCGGATGGTGGGTACATTTGGTACTCGGCTTCGTTGAAGCGCCCTTCTTCCTGGAGAATAATCTTCTGGTCAAAAACTCTAGCAAAAAGCGTTTTTTGACCATAGTTCCATTGGGTAAACTAGAATTTGCTGAAAAGAAAAACGTACCCGAAGAATTTCAAGTTCGCGAGCGCTGCAGGTAGGCGTCTTGACGGCGTAGACGTTGTGGAACTTTCCGAAGTCGATGTTGTACTGTCCGTTTTCTTTTTTGTAGTGCACGAGCTTCTCGAATCTCATGCCCCACAAGATTTCGCTAGGGAGGTAGCTGGTTCGGGCCTGCGTTGTGGATCCGACGCTTTCCACGACTCCTTCGAGGATGGCTAAAAACTTTGGTTGTGAGGTTTTGATCTGAACGGGGCGGCAGGAATCCAGAGATTGTGAAACTGGCACTTCAAACGAAAAAATCGGGAAAAAAGCGGCCAAGAGTCAGAATTTAAAAGACATTTTTCAAGACTTTTTCACAAAAATTATTTTTTTCAATACTCTTTTGACCGCCCAAGTTACCGCTTAATCGATTTTTTTCACAAAAATTTTTTTGGAAGCATTTTTAAAACATGATTGAATAAAGTGAATCATTTCAAATTACAAAAAGAAGAGCAGCTTTAAAAAAACTATTAAAAAAATTCTTCAAAAAAACGAGGATTTAATTTTTTTAACGGAAAAAAAGTTTGATGGAATAAACGCTGAACTGTTCCATTTTTTCTTCTTAAAAACAAAGTTTTATCAAATTTTTACAAAAGGTAGGTCAATTTTCAAGCACTGATACTAGTTCTCACGGCAAGAATAAGAGCAATCCCAAGCGTTTTCATCAACTTTCAAGCCTTGGCAGATGAAACACTTCCTGAAAAAAAAACAAACCTATGATTTCGAACTTGGCGGTCTTCAGATCAGCTTCTCCAATGTCATAAAGCGGGCTTCTCTCGTCGATCTCATGGCATACCGTAATAGGCCAAACAACAAAAACGCGGTCAAGTCCTTGATCATATCTGTAGACTTTCAAGGTAAACATATCTTTTACGATTTTTTTTTGATTCTAAGATTGCGTCAAAGGCTTCAAGAATGTGCTACACTTCATTTTATTGCTTGATCTCTGCTGTCGAGGTTGATAGGGTGGAAATTATGGTAAGATTTCATTACGTTCACAACTATAAAAGCAAAGAGTGATTACGTCAGAGCGCAACATGTCCTAGCACAAGATAAAAAATGGTCCTTAAGGAATTTCGTGTTTTGAAATTTTTTGATATTTTCTCACAAAAACAGGTTAGTAAAGCTTTTTAGGGAGAGGCTAAAAAAATTTTAGAAATAAGAAAAAAAGGCTTTTGCCCGAAAGGTTTGAAAAAAATATTCAAACTTATTTTAAAAAAATTTTTTTTGAAACAGGGAAGTGAACAAAAAAAGAAATCGACTGTAGTTTAATTTTTTTGATTTTTTTCACAATGGTTTGTTATAAATTCCTTGTAGCGATTTTCAAAAAAAAAATTTGTTTCAAAATTTGAAACTGGCTTTTAAGTAACTTTAGGCGTGACTGAAAAAAACCGAAACGGTTCAAAAATTTTGAAAGTCTTCGGAAACTCTGCACCTCTTGCATCAGGAATATAAATCGAATTTTAAATCTCTAAATTATATTCTGAAACAGAAAAGTTCGTTAAATATTCATAAAATATCTATAAAAATCGGCTTAAAAATCGTTTTTTTGTTCTCTCTCTCGATTTTTTTTCCCGATTTTTTTCTCAAATTTTAAAAAAATATGTTCAGTTTTGACCTTTTTTTTACGGAACCCAACTTATAAGTTTCTATAAAGTGCAGCTTTTTTTTCGATTTTGCAAGGCTGCGAAAGGAAAAATCCTGCAGACGCTCTGAATTGTATCTGCAGGATGATAATAGGCTTGATTGTGTGTTCTCACGGCATAGAAAATGGAAATCTCACCCAACGTCCATGTCGAATTGGTGGAACGGAAGCAGCTCGCCTTCATACGTCACACACCGTTTTATCATCTGAAAATAGACATTCTTGAGATTTTTCCTAGATTTTTTTGAGTTTCACTTTTTCCTTATCATTTGAAAAAAACATTGACATTTTTTTCAAAGTTTAAATTATTTTACTGCTATAGAATTTCACTAAAAAACTTTCCTCATTGGGAGAAAAATATTATTAGCTTTCACATAAACTGACTAATTCCAAGTTTCTACTTTTTTATGAAAACTTCCAGTTCTGTTATTTAAAAGGCTTCAAAAAAATGATTATGGTGAGAAATTTTATTATTTGAAATTTACTGGTCAGTTTTCTCCAACATGTAGCGTTTTTTTCGGGTCAATACTGTCTAGTGAAATGACACCCAATGATGAGAGCTCCTTGTGGAAAAGAATTCGTAAAAGAGTGGCTCCTAATCTTGTTTGCAACCTCAAAGACATTTTCCGATTTCTTTTTTCCGTGCGATAAGAGATCACACCGGAAACTCCACCCCTCGGACAACATGTATAAATGTGAGGCCCGGCGCTGAGCCTTTTTATCAGTGGCTCGGCCTGATTGCAGAACATTTTCCCTTATCAGGCAATCGAGCAGAAGTTTCAGTGCGCCGTTCGCTTTGATCCACTGATTTCTTACTTCATTATCTCAAATGGAATCGTCTTCACAAGAACCAGAAGAAATCCTACCTTCTGGAGGGCTTGCAAGGAAATCAACCACAGAAAAGTTCGTTTTTTTTTTCAACATTTCGATTTTTTATTCGAAGTTTTCAGGCGGAACAGGGTAGTGACGTTCGCTGAATTGAACCCTCAGGACCTTCTGGATGGAGATCGTGAGAAAGAATTCCGAATCACGCTACCGCCAAAGTATGATGACGTAATTGATGCAGAGAGGGATGTCGAAAGTGGGTTTTTTTAATTTTATAAAAAAAGATGACTCAAGTTAGTTTTTCTTCGAGTTATTTTTTTCAAATTAAACTTTCTCATGTTAACAACCTAAATCGCTTAAAATGTACTATACCGCCTGTTGGAAAAAAATTGAGATACTCTCACTGAATAATTTAAATATGTCGATTTTCGTTGCGAAACCGACGCGATTTCAAAAATTCACAGAAAAAAACTTATTTGAAGCCTAAAAAAATGATATATTGGACTTTTTAAAAAAATAATTTTTTTGATTGCAACATTTCAGGTCAAAGAGACCATTCCCGGTCGCTCTCACGATACGCCAAAGTGACGATTTTCTCATTTTTCTGCTTTGCTCTGTTAATTCTCTTTCTCCTTCTTGCTGAAAATAACACGCATTGACCTTCTTGTCATTGTCCTATCAACCCATAATCCACGGATCTCGACTCATCTTGCCATTGAAATGGAAAATAAATCTCAAGAGGATTAATCTGTCTCACCTGTAAGCGTACGTGAGCCTCAGCCAAGCTGCTCTTCCTCATATCGCCGACCCGGAAAAGTAGACACAGTTTGCCGTCCCGCATACAAATTACCTGAACCCCGAACATCTTCCTGGTGTATTTATAAGAGTGAGAAATCAATAAAGTTCCTCATTTTTATCTCGATCTACAACTCAACAACTCAATGACCCAGTTAAGAGGCTTTCCGGTTGGAGAATTTGTTTGTCCGAGTCTTTTCACAACTGATAAACGAGCTCACCGCGTTTTTCGAGAATATCAGCGTCGCGGCTCGTTTAATCGGCCGTGCGAGCTTGGAAAATATAATACCCGCCATAAGTGTCTGAAATATTACTCGATTTTGTTGAGTTGGCAATTTTTAAGTTTCCTAAAAACATAGAAATGTTTTAGAAGCTTTTTTCAAACATTTTGATGCTTCAAAAACATGAGCGACGATTTTTTTTATATTCCGAAACTTGAAAAATGGTTCGGTCTTTTTGCAGAGTTTTCTGTTGATTTAAAAAAAATCTATCTCTCTGTGCTCTTTTTTATCTCACGAAAAAAACCAAAAAGGACTTCTACCAAAACTTTTACTTGTTCAAACACCTAATCTGCTCAAAAATAATCATCATATGAATAAGATAAACTCCTCTTTGTTCTTCCAAAGTGATAAAAATTTCGAAAATCGTAACAATTATCACTTTTTTTTCGATTTATTGGGTCATACCTGTGTCATAACTCCCCACATGAACTGCACGCACATGACGAGAACTGCGATGGGACATGAATCCGTTGGATATCTGTCAAATAACGAATGAAATTGTAATCCCTAAACTACACAAATTGATTCTCTTGCTCTTTGTCCCCGCGATAACGCTTATAAATTTAGAACGGTGCTCACTTCTTATCAATCATGCAACTTTCCATCTTTTATCACTGAAAAACAGAGGTCCCGAGACATGACATAACGTGGTCTATCCGATAAAACGCGGTTTCAATCAAACTAACTAACTTGAGAAGAAAAATCTATGAAATGAATAAAGTGGATATTTTTTGAATGAATGACTTTCCTGTTTCATTGATGAAAGGAGAAACAACGAAAATGCACTCACCGGAACCCGTAGCCTGAAAAAATGTACATTAATTTCCGAAGACAGCCTTCGATTTCAAAATACAGTTTTGTGCCGCAATGGGAATGGCTACATGTTCATGGAAGAAACTTTATGGAAGGCTTCAAAAAAACATCTGGACTATATAATCTCAAATTACATGTTTTTTTTCACACATGAAGGTGAAAAAATCATTTTCCGGTGGCACTCGGAATGGCTTTTTTCCGTGGAACACTCAAAAAGACTGCCGGGAATGATCTTGCAGATAAACTCAACGTTTTTCCTAATCGAATAATCCTAAAAAAATTATGGCTGTTCTAACTTTACAGTTTTTTTGGCCACACTGTCAATGCGGCTTTTAAATGAATGAATCCTCTGTTTCAAGTTATCTTTACTTAAAATTTTGCTCAGTAATTCTATTTTTTTCAGTGACTTCATCGCGTAAAAATTCAAATAAAAAGCTTTGGAAAAAAGCAAAATGCAAATTTTCCAAAAATGACAGATTTTTTTTTTGCTAAGTTTAAAATCGCAACCTGACAGCTCACAAAAAGATAAACTTGGAAAAGAACATATTTTTTGGAAAAAAAAATAGAAATAAATCACGAACCGATGGTGGTTTGAGTGGTGAAAGAGAAAAGGAAGGCGCTGAGTCGGGAATGGACGTTGACGATACACGGCGTCCAAGTCGCGTTCGTCACTTGCTGGAGGTCGCCGTGTTGCGTGGCGATCGACCAGTACAAGGTAGCGAAGAAACTCCAGGAAATCAAGAACGAGAGCGAGAAGTAGAGCAGGCACCAGCGCCATTTCATCTCGATCACCGTCGTGAAGATGTCGCTGTAATATTTTTTCATGGATTTCTAAGTTTCTTCGAAGAAAATTGAAGTCTTGAGACATCCGGCGTCTCCGTTTTGCGCAGATTTTAGTAATATCCTTACTTTTTATTTGTTTTGTTTTTTTATCTAATTTTTTTCAAGGTTGAAAAAAAGATAAATTGAGAAAGTAAATCTTTAGGGTGAAATATGGTGGTATGTTTCATAATCCATCCACTTCTGCCGAATTCTAGAAAAAAATCTCATCTCCGAGATTTGATACTTTTCTTGGTTTTCGGACTCAAATTATTCTTAAATTCCAAGGTTTTATCATCACGCTTTATCAAACATTGCCGTTTCAAAACCTAACTTCCTTCAATTTTTTTTATGATCGATGGAATTTTTCCTGCGTCTCTTATTTCACTAACTTTCAACAAACGGTCGAAAATCTATATTTTCTGATTTTACTGAATTCTGACGTTTTCCTAATTGAACTTCTCCCTTTTTCAGATTTTTTTCAATATTTGAAACGCGAATGTAGTTTTCGCTTTATTTCTTGTCACTCTATCGGAAGGTTCTTAGAAACTACACAATATTTTCCGGTTCATTCAATTTCGCGGTGGAACATCGTCATTCTATCTAAAGCAAAAAAAAACTCATCTGAAGGGTCTCCTAAAAAAATTCGTCTTCATCCAAAAAAACGAATAAAAGCGGATATAAGGGCCACTGACTATTAGCGCTTTTTTTCAAGACCCCAATGCCTTTAGTAATAAGATGCATTAGTAGGGAATTCCCAGCTTGAAATATGAATCAAGCTTCTCATATATTGTTTTTAATCGTCATGCGGCGCCCTGAAAATATTGGTTGAAGCCATTTTAAATAAACAATCAACAATCGGAGTTTTCTCAAGCGAAAAGCATGGGTTTTGAAAAATGCAAGTCTCTAAGTTCATTCACAATAACTTTATGAGAAAAGAGGGCGACCTTTTTTTAAAAAATATTTTTTTAGGATTTGCATAAGATCTTAAAACGTCAATTTTACAAGGTTTTTTTAAATCAAATTAAAGTTAACTGATTCAGAAGTTTCAATTCATTTATCAATAATAGTTCAATCATCGACGCCTGCTGGATTTGCAAAAAAACTTACACGAAAAAGTAATTTTACTTCTTTTTAGGTATTCAAATATTAGCTCAGTTATGAATGAAAGATCCAGTTTGATATTCTAAAAATCTCTCCGTACTCAACTGGGCTTCTGACTATAACTATACAGCCTTGGCTAAAAAAATTGAAAAACTTCGGAGGTGAAGCTTTCCCAACTTAACCAAAAGTTCATTTTTCTTTTTCCTGCTTTTTTTTTCATTTTTTGGAATTTTTTTGACTCAAAAAAGTAGTGTATAACTCCTGAAGAAAAAATATTTCCTGAGATTTTTTTCCTTCTCGTTTTGCCACACGGAAGTGGGAGTGAACAAGACAAAAGCAGGATGAACAAATGCCAGACTCAAACACAACAAGAAAATGAAAGATTTCTTTGAGAAGTACCAGATGCATTTTTCGTTCCTTTTTTCCCTCGAATGCACAACCAATGCCGAGAGGATCAATCGCAAAAAAAACAGCTTTTTACCTCACATATGGCATAACAAAAACTATATTTTTATTTTTGCTAGGCTTTGATATGTGTTTTTTGAAAATCCTATTGATGAAAAAGAAAAAAAAATGAAACAAACTCTGAATAAAAAACCGTTTTGATTGAAAAAGAAGCTCAAACTTAAACAACTCGAACTAAAATACAGTTCAGTCTTTGTGTGAATTTATTTTTTAGAGTCTAATGATGTTATTTTTGGTCTGGAACAAAAAAGCGTAAAAACTAGAAACTTGGAAATCTTGTTGAAAGTTATAAGAAATATTGAATCATTCAAATGAAAAAAAGGTAGAGTACACAACTCCGTTTTTCATGCTCTAAATTTCAAAACGTTGACCAAAATCTAGACGCCATACTCTTTCGACCACATGTGACATGTTCAATCCCTTCGTCACACGTCTTTTTTCTCTTCATTTTTTTTCAGAAACCTTGAAGTTTCTGCACCTTTTGCAGGAAGGAGTCCGAAAAATCAGAGTCTCAGGGAATCTCATAAAACATAAAAATAAACGACCCCGTCGTTACAATAGTCCAACGAGTGCGATTTTTCCTTGCCCGAAAACTAGCACCTTGAAGACGGTTATTCAAAATTTGATGAATTGCCCCCGGAAACCTGTTTTTGAAAGGTTTTATTATTTTTTTAAATGGACCTTTTTGATTTTTTGTCGAGGAGGAATTCTGATTTTTGTTCACTTAAACTTTTCTCAGAACTTAGAAGCTCAACCTGAGTATTTCAGGGAGTGCATAAACTAAAATGCGCAATTTCCTTTTGGAAAACGACTCCAATATCAGTCAACTTCAAAAATGATGACCTCAAATTGCTCTTTTTCAGAATTTCATTCAAGAAATGTTCAAATACGGATTTTTTGATAGTTTGTGTTCTAAGATATCACAAAAGTATTGTGTTCTCTTTGAACCGACTTTTTGAAGCGTCCGACCAAGTACTGTTTACGCCTCAAGGCATTTCGAAGCTTGAGAGAAATTTTTTAACTTCGGGCTAAAACGCAGTGCAACCGCTTCACGTTGAGCCATTTCACGCACGCTTTCATGATATTACAGGCTCTGAAAATTTTTTTTTTAATATACCTGAAGTATTTGCGACGTTGCTTGGGGACATTTTTCAGGCTAATGTTGCAGAGTCCCTGAAATAAAATTTTCTCATTTTTTGAATAATTTCAAGCCTTGTGAAGCTAAATTGACAGTTACTGGATTCTTAAGAAGGATACCAACTTTCGATGAAAAGTTTGAGTTTTGATTGAATTTTACGATTCTCGAAAAGAATGCCGTTTTGAAAACATAATCTAAAAGTTCAGCCTCTCAAACGCCTTGAAAAACCTTGAAAGACTTTTTTTTTTTGGTTTTTCTTTGATCTTTCAAGATTACCCAAGAAACGCGTAAACAAAACAAATCATAAGAAAAATTGCTCAGATAAAGTCTCCGAAACAGAGAACCTGGCGACGTATATGTCCCTACACATGACAAATTGCACCTAATTTTGGTGCATGCATCTGGATGCATTAGACCAACAATCTCAACTTTTCGGGTACCCTTGCGTGAGTTTAGTTGACATTAACTTCCTGGAAATTTCAACGAGCAACTTAACATTGATGAAATTCGTTTTCTTTTTTTCCGACCTAATGAAATTTTCTTGAAACACGAAGGTGAATGAGCTTGTACACTTTGAAAAGGTTAGAAACATTCACGGGTCTTCATTGGATTTTCACCGCCTCATTTTTGAATTTCGTCGTCTTCAAAAAGGAACTTTTTCGATTTTCAGGGCCCTAGACAAGTAAATTTCAAGTTAAAATGACAAATATTGGATTGAAATCACGCCATCCAATGAGAAAATTCCACCTGCCCGTTCTGCACTTCCATTTTTTGTACTCGATAAAATGAATTTTGAGTTAGTAATTCATTTACTTGCAGGCGAAAGCAGAATTTAAATTACAAGAGGGTTTGTAAAAAAAAGAATGGCAGATACAGCGCAATAAGTTCTACTCATTGAAAGGCGGATTTTTAAGTTATTCAAATTGTAACGCATTCACAAGCAACTATAAAGGAGTGACACCATTTTGGGCTAATTTCTCTGTTTCATAGCTTGAATGCTTTTGAAAATAGGTATCGAAAAAGGTATCATCCGAATTTTTACAAAGCTCTCCAAAATACTTTCTGATGAGATCCCGATTCTTGAATAACACACCTGTTTCTGGACGAGTCGATTGCGGCATCGTCTGGAGCCGCCAAGACGCGGGGCCTTGAAGAACGGGTACTTCTTGGCCTTGACGAGCGGCTCTTCGATGTCGAGCATCCGTTGAGCTGCCAACAAATTAGCTACAGAAGGTGACAAGGCGACAGTAGTTTTCCTCATGGCTCAATTAATTGACTCCAGGAGGAAAAAAAGGATTGTTTGCTGGGTTGTTTTTGCGTCGCCAACACCGAAGTGCTGCCACTTATTTCCGAGCAGGAGCTGGAGCAAGAGCAACAATGTTTCTTCAGAGAGGAGCCGGCGATTAGATTAGGAGCGGATGAGGCTCAAAGCGCCAAGTTTTGGGCCCCAACAACATATAAGTTGTTTGAGTCGAGTTTGGGAGTGTGAGCGAGTTAGCGGACGAGAAGCTTGGGACGCTTATAGAGTGGATAGATGCCAGTTGGACCCCCGTCAGCGCCGCCTCTTTGATGTGCGGCTGGTGAGCGTTGGCCATGCCATGTGTGCTTTTTCAGCTTTTGCCCCACTTTTAACCTTATGAGAGGGACGATAAGAGGAATTCCAGCAGTTCCAAAGATTTTTTTTCAACTAGAGAAGTGCAAAAGGCTTCCCGTTGGATTCAATGAAACTTCTTTTCTGGAAAAGTAATTACCTTTTCAAATTTCAAAAATTTACTTTTTACTTATTTTAGCAGACTTTTTCGACGTAGAATCTTCAACAAAACATGACCGAAGAATTTCTTTTTGTACTGTCTAAGGAAGTGAACAAGATAAAATGCACTTTCTGATTTTTTTCTCTTTACTCGCTCCAGTAGTCATAATGTATTCAATCAAAACAAGTTGAAACTGTCAGATGTAGGAAATGAGATCATGACTCAGGAGGCTTTCCATTAAAAAATTCCTGTTGAGAACAAAAAGCTGTTATTTGACTACTCATGAAGGAAAGGATCCCTTTCGATGGTTGTTCACATCTGTTTCCAAAAGAAAAAATTGTCCATCGACAAACAATTTGTTTATCCTTGGTGGAAATGTTGAAAGAAAAGACGCGCGGAAAACATCGATGTTTTTGGGTTCTTTTGTATGAGTTTCAGAAATTTTCCGAACAAACGAAAAATACCGAATAGAGCCCAGATTTGACAAAGAAGTTAGGGAAAATTTTCTCAGTTTCGAAAAGCCCCAATAGTGCAGTGAGTGGCTCAAAACAAGAGATTCCTGGTTCAGCTGATACTCTTTAACGGCGCCGGTTTTATCTGCGGAGTACTACTGAGCGCAAGTAGTTTCAGGTCGGGCGAAACACTCTCCGAAATAAATCGCGGATGCTCCTAGTAAAAGCGAGAACACACCATCGCTTACCGTTTTCCAGCGTTACAAAAATTCATAATTTTTCATCTTTTCTGCTTTTCTGCTTTTCAATTATCTTCAACCTGAAAGAAGTCTTCTTTGGATTTTATGAAAAAGCATTTAAATTTTCAAAGATTGAGAAAAGATATGAAACTTGTCAGGAAAACTAGAAACAACCGCACATACGACAAAAACGCGGCCAGTTGGTGACTTACTTTTATACTCCTTTTTTTTCTTGAGAAAACTTTTTTCAGTGAGAAAAATTTGGCCTGTGACTATCGTTTGACTTTATGACTCCTCAGAATCGTCGCCGAGAAAACTTGCCAAACTCAACTTTTCTAGTTAAAGGGAGAGAGAAGTCAAAAGTTTCTAGAAGGTTGATTTTTGAGCGTTCAGTTTAAAATCTGAAAAATCGTCGGAGATCTCAGGAAAATGAAAAAGCATAGGACTCCTTGCATGACTCACTAATAAGAAAAAATATGGGACAGAAAAGTCGAGCTTAATTTCTAAGGCCCTTTTTTGCTTGAGAATAAGCTCATCACTGCGATTCAGAATCTTGAAAAACTTGGGCAAGACTTTTCTTTCCTATTCAAGGTAGAGAGACCTGAAAGTCGAAATTTGTCCATTTTATTAGGTTTTTGAAACTGTTAGCTTAAAGTATAGTGTCCTGGGAAGAAATCTTTGAGATTTTCATATTTGAGAAGCCTAATCTTGAGAATTGAAGTCACATGGCCTTTTATGTGGGTAGCTTTTGAGACAGTCCACTCAGGCGTATCGGTATCAACTTTTGGATTAGCCCGATGATGATTTCGTTCAAGTCAAAGCCCTTGAACTCACATTCATCCTCAGGAGATGAGGCCAGGTCGCTGGACAGCAGAGGCATCGGCATCGCTCGACGTTCACCAAAGAGGAGACTGAGGAAGGATAATGATACCGAAAATCTCAGGGGAGGGACCAAAGCGAAACGAAAACATTCCCAAAGGAATTCGGTCGGATGATAAAGCAAAATGTTTTGGGAAAGGTTAATTTCCAGGAAAAAGATGAGAATCGAAACAAATGAAATTGGAAAGCGCGTGAGAGCGAGAGACCGTATAACTCCCATTCGACGGCGTCGCCAGCCGCACAAATCCCAAAAACAAACGGGCGCAAAAATCAAGCAATCGAATTGAGTCTATCAAAATCAGTCGGTATCAAAAAAGCTCAAAAACTGGCCAGACCGAGTTTTGGGAGTTTCCTCCAGAAAAAGTAAGGTTAATGATGATGAATAATTCATCGAACTATTCTTTATTCGCTTCTCTACGGCTAGATCAGGTTGAAGCTTTTTTTCATTCCTAAAACTCTCTAATATTTTTTCTTGTAACTGAAAAAAAAGGTGAAACAAATACTGGGTCATTTTTTTTTGCCACCTTTTAATGATTACTCTGTTCTTAAACTTATCGAAGTCGAAAAATGAGAATGGACTATTAAAACTCACCAAACTCTCCAAAAAACACTTAGACAGGTTTACTGTTTCTGCTAAAACTCGTTCGCAATGAGAATTTTAATCGCGCAGCAGTGTCCCACAGTTTGTGGAACTTGGGAAAAATGAACTAGCACGAGAAAAAAATTCCTGGAAAAAACCTATGTAAAGCAAAAAAAGAACTACGGTAACAGCTCTCATTTCCGAAAAATCTTCATAAAAAGTTCCGAATCTCATCAACTTTTCGATAATGAAAGTTGATTCATATACCGGAAATAAAACTTTTTTTCTGAAAGATGACAAAAATTGGTTTTTTTTTTCGAGTTCTAGGCGTAAAGTTTCGAGATTTCGAGACTCTCTGGGGAGGTCAAGAGAAATGAGGAATATCATTTGATTTGTCGTATCTGAAACTCTGAGAAAAACTTCCTTATACACACTTTTACTAGTAGGCAATAAATCCTTGAGTTCGAGTAAAAAGTTTCTTTCTCAGGAATTTTGTGAGATTAAAAAAATTTAGAAAAGGCTCGATTCAATGTTCTTTTGTTGGGGACACATTGAAGAGCTTCGATAGGCCCAAACGCAGGTTATTTCATTCATCTTGTAGTTTTAGAAAGATGGGTTTCAGAAAAAGGCTAACAATTTATTGGAGCTCGAACCTTGAAAGAACAAAAAAATTCTTGAAAAAAATTTGAAAAAAACAAGAAAGTCGCATTTTTTTAACGGATATTGTTATTAAGTTTTTGTGAAAGATTGAGTACTTTATAAAACTAACCTGAAACAGAAAAGTGACGTACAATTTTACTTGAAATTTTTCAATCGGAAAAAAATTTTGTTAGAAGAAAGAGGAAACAGTAGCAAGAACTCAATAAAAAAATCCGTTTAGAAACTGGAAAGTCATTTTATATCATTAGAGCGATAAACAAAGTCAAGATGATCTCAAAATTTATACATAATAAGAATATCAAGTTGTTACATTTTGTCTTGAAGTCATTAAAAAAATAAAAAAAGAGCGGAAAAATTCTAATCATGTGATGGATTCCCCAAAGCTTTTGACTTCCTAAAGCGCATCAAAGTCTTAAATTTAATACAGTCTTACGTCGCAAACACACTGAAGTGGATGTTTTCAAAATGCGACGCAAAATACTCGAAAAAGACGGACAGATGCGCAGTTGGAAACCCCGAAAAAAGTTGTACCGTTTGCGGAAAACCGCATCTGCCACACCATTTCATGTTACAAGTGGGCGTTTTCCTCAGAATTCTTCCAAGGAACTGAAAGAATTTTCATATGAACGTCTAGGGAAAACGTGTAAAAAAGTTCACTCGTGAGAAGTCAGGTCAAAAGTTCTACTTATCCGGCTTGAAAAAAAAGCGCGAAAAAAGCAGGAAATGAAAAGAGCTCTCGACAGCTTCCCAGGAATTTTTTATTTCCTAAAGACGATTGAAAGCGAAAAAAATGGTTTTTTCCTGTCTAACCAGGAACTTCTGTCCTATGAGATTACGTTGGATTCTAGTTAATTTCATTTTCGGGGTAAATTGAAAAATTCTTTGGAAGTTAAGAGGTCAATTTGATCCCTGTGGAGAACTTGGAGGAAATTTTGTTTTTCCAATCTACCGGAAGCTCAAAAATGTACCATTTTGAAAAAAAGGAGTTCTGAGAAAGTTGAGAGGATGAAATCGTTCTTAAGGAGATTCAATTTTTTTTCTAATTATCTTTTTGATATCGAGAACTTCTGTCAGAGTGGTCACTCTAGGACCTTCTCAAAAAATTCCCTAACTGAAAAAATACGCAGTTTCAACTTACGTTTTTTCACAAGAATAAACGAAAAAATTAGAATAGAGTAGAAAAAATTCAAAATGGATAATGGTTAAGATGAATCCGCAGCTCAAATTTTCCGTTAAGCTTAAAATTTTTTGCAAATATGAGAGCTTACACGTTGCAACTGTCAATATTAAGCTATTGCTCGATACTTTTTTTCCGAGAAAATTCAGATAATCCAAAAAAAAAACGCCCATTTGAGAGTCTTATTTCTGAGCTACGGCGATGATCTTCGTCAACCTGAAAGCTGGCAAATTCCCGAATATTTTGTAACTTAGCGGATTTCGATGAAGTTTTAAAAAAAGCAATGTTTCGTGGAAAAATTTCGTTGACAAAGAGAAACAGAAAAAAAAATCCAGAAGCTCGAATATCGTAAGCCGATCAAAGTAACAAAATCTTTTGAAATTTATTTTTCCCTCAAAGAAGTTAGTAAATGAAAAAGTATTGGTCTTTTTTTCCTCATTCTGAAATTTCGTTTTTTTGGAATAAAATTTCCAGAATAAAAAAAGGTAAAGCGCTGTATTTATCTGTTTCAAAAATTGGCCAATCGTCCAAAAAAATTGATTTTTTTCCTCATCCCTAAATTTTCAAATTCTAAAAATTGGTTCATGAGTCAAACATTGAGTTATTAAAAAAACTTATAAACTGTTTTTTTGATAGAAAAAAATATAGAGAAAAAAAGTTAAGAAAAAAACCCGAAATTTCATTCGTAATATAAATGTACACAAACTTGCTTTTTAAAGGTATTGATGAAAAAAAGTGTTTCATTGGAAATAACCTTTATAATTGGCGTTTTTTTCTCAAAACAAATTCGCGCCACGGCAACGGCCGTTTTGTCACAACAAATTTTTTTGGTGGGAAAGGACCATTGGCTGATTTTATCTCAATTATTTGATAATTGTTCAAATGAAAAAAATTGGAGTTTGGCTCATTTCTCAAAAATAAAAATCGCCCTAACGACACGGCCGTTTTGTCACAACAAAAAGTTCTAGATGGGAAAGGAAGGATATCTGACTTTTCTCCAATTCTTCGAGGATCGTTTCGTTGCATCAGCTTCAAGCTTCAAGACTGGATTTCCATCGAGAAGACTTCTGTCCAGGTATTTTGGAAGATAAATATGAAAACCAAAAAAATCAAGTTTCTCAAACTTGTCATGTAATATATCAAAAAAGTTCAAAAACCTGCTTCATCAGGTAAAAAATCAAACATTCTAGCTGTTGAGAGTTTGTACTGCTTTATAATTTCTCAAAAAGATGACTTTGGAATTCAAAAATAAAAAGAAAGACAAAAAAGAAGAGAGTAAGAACTTGTTCCCAACTGTAAAACAAAAAAATTAAGAAGAGTTTGATAAAATCTACTCTCACTTGTTCTGATGAACGAGCGAAAAATAGAGACAAGAAGGCTTGTTTCGAAAAGAGCAATAAGTTCAAAACTTTCCTTGGTGTTCTAAAGAAACAGTAAAGTGAAAAAATCCACACCCCAGACGTTCAAAACAGCTTTTTTCAATCGAGTAGCCGCACTTGACACTTGGAAACATGTGCCTGGTCATTTTTTGAATGCTCTTGGAAACGTCAAAGTGAAATAAAGAGTCGAAAACATTTTTTTCACCAGAAAACTTTCTCATGACGGAAATCGAAAAACTGAAACTCATCAAACTTCACTAAAAGTCAGAATAAAAAATTATTGAGAACTGGCGTTATACTTCGTTTTTCAATGAAATAGTTGATAAGGTACGTTTTCCAATTTCCCGTCATGATGTGAAACAGGAAAGTTCCAAAATCAAACTTTTTCAGCAAACCACTCTTTTTCGAATCATTTGTTTCACTTTTTCAAATTGAATAAATCAAAATTAAGAAAGAATGAATTTTTGAATAATAGAAACCTTGCTCGCGGTCGAGAAGAAGCGAACGGCCGGGCAGGCGACCATTGGCCAAAGCGAGTCGCTCGACACGACCCGCAAGATTTTTGAGGCATCCAATCCGTTTCAGGTCGGGTACAGCAATTTTCTAAATTTTTTTTAATCGTTCTTTGATTTTAATATTTTTTTTCAATGAAAACAGAGATGTAAAACTCTAAAAATTTATTCTTCGCCGCTTGAAAAAAATGTTTAAATCATTTTTTTGAAAAAGAATGGAAATTCAAAGTTTTTGGCAGTTTTCCCCTAAACTTGCGGTCGATTGAGTAAAAGTTAGTGGTTAGAGGCAACAAAAACACGTGGCACCACAGGTGCTACAAAGAGAAATCCTCAATCTTATTGATGAATTAGGTGAAAAGCAAAATAACGAGCTTTATTTCTTCCGGTTTATTGGAAAACTTGCGGAAAAAATTGAACTTATAACTTTGTGGTGAAAAAAAAGCTGGCTCCACAAAAAAAAGGAAAAGTATATAAAATGGATAAAACAGGAAGTTCTCATTGAAAAAAAAGAATAAGAATGTCCAGAGTTTTGGGGAAGTTAAGAAGACATCTTCTTTGCATTGTAACTTAGAAACAGGGACACTGATGAAAAATGACACATCAGAATGGGAAAAAGGTCGACTTTGGGAGAAATCCTTTTTGAAACAGAAAAGTGACTTATATTTCTCTTCTATTTAAAGTGCAAAGTATTGTCTTGAT